GTGGGATCTCATTCTGTTTTTGCTGAAGTAACTAAAATCAGATATGAAGCTTTCACAAATATTTAGTTTGCCAGAACTGTTAACTCTTGTATACTACAAAAAACTAGTTAAAACCACTAGCTAAAATAATATTTGTGTCCCTTATTGTTTTTGATGTGTATGATATGTAGCCTTTTACAATGTGAAATTGGCATATTGACTTCCTGGCATTGCTAGATCCCAGGAATTCTAAAAATGACACAAATTACCTGAAAATTTTAATTTAAACAAACCAGATTTTAGTATTGTATATCTTACATTTGGATAACTTGAAATTAAAATTAAAATACCTAAAATAAGTTCAAGGGTACCTTTATTTGTATAATACTTTTAATTTATTTTAACATAGGATGCCTAATGGCTGTAATTATTTTTGTTTTTTCACCTACAATAGAGTAAATAAATATGTAGTGATGACCTGCTATGCTGAAATATTGGTTTTTGAATCCACTCCCCTTCTTAAAAAGGAAATAAAAATGGGAGAGCCAGAAGGAAAATGAATAGTTAATCGTGGAGGAGGAGAAAACCTAGCTCAGTACTTTGACTAGAGGCAGCTGGGGAAGTGACGTCCTGTAGCATTTGCTGTTCTAGAAAGTACAGAGACACGTAGTGAAAATGGGAGGATCTAGAAGGAGGCTGTCTCCTGTGTAGTGTATATTTATCTGTAAGTGAGCCTTTGGGGAAGGAATTAAATACAGAGACGCGGTTTGCTTGCTGCCTTAAGACAGTGAAGCTGAATTGCTGATTTGCTTTAACTTTTAAAATACCCAGCTTGGTTTATTTTTCTTAGAATCGTACTGCTAAGCCTGGGGACGCTGTTTTCTTTCACAAAGGGAAATCTAAGTTCATTTCAAAGCATTCGAAATGGGGAAAGACTATTATTGCATTTTGGGAATTGAAAAAGGAGCTTCAGATGAAGATATTAAAAAGGCTTACCGAAAACAAGCCCTCAAATTTCATCCGGACAAGAACAAATCTCCTCAAGCAGAGGAAAAATTTAAAGAGGTCGCAGAAGCTTATGAAGTATTGAGTGATCCTAAAAAGAGAGAAATATATGATCAGTTTGGGGAGGAAGGTAAGTATTCCGTGTATATCTTTTGGTCTCTCCAGCTCTGTCTCACTCTCTCTCTCTCTTTTTCCTCCCCGCTCTTTCAGCCTTCTGGTTATCTTTAAATTAAATTCTCAGACATCAAAGTAGAAAGACAAATAATGGATAAAAATAAGATTTTATCTTTGATCATCTGAATGAATATTATTACATAGCTGTGAATGAAATGTACTTTTTTGCCTTTTTTTTGATTTTGGCATTTTGTAATATATATATCTTCTGCCATTAGATTTATAACGTTAACATTGTATATTTGAAAAGAAACATTACATTCCCATACCCATTAATGAATTGTGTCAAAATTATGCAACCTGTTTTGTTTTCTAATGAATTTTCTGCCGGAACCACTAAAGGTCCTTCACTCATTTAAAATGTTAAGATTGGCAGTTCAAATTCTGGGTAGTTTATATTTTATTCACAAAAACAAAACAAGTTTTTTGCCTCTCTGATAGCAATTTAATTTAGATTGAACAAGATAGAATCGTCTGTCTGAGAAGCAGAAGGCCCAGGCATTTAGCTCTGGTTGTTTTTGGCATTCTGCCTGGAGAGGAAAGAATTTTCCTGATGTCATAAAATACCAGAACAAGTTTTTAGCTTAATTGTAAACAGTAATTGTGTGCCAAGAAAATGAGATCTCAGAAATACAGTTTTTGACCTAAAATGGCCACCTCATTAGAACAGTTATTGATTTACTTATAGGTCACATTATGTCTTCAGAAATTTTACTACTTAGGTATAGAGGAAAGCATGACAACTTCCCTTTGCTCTCCCTGCCATACTTTTCTTTCATCGTGAGATCAGAAACTAGTTGAGTACAGTAAATGGGGGTTATTAAGATTATCCCTTTATTGTTCTGTATTTTAAATTAAGTTTGTCCATCATTTCCATATAAATGTAGCTATTAAGTAAGACTATTTTAAATTGCTAATTAACAGCAACAACAAAAACACTTTAATTCCTACAGATTCTGGGATTTTCAACATTTTGAATCAGGACTAAGTTACTTCATTATTAATTTTTTTCTCCCAAAATGTCCTCTTTTAAATCATTGTAGTTACGAAAATCTTTTTTATTTCTTTGCCTCCTTTATCTCATTTAACATAAAGTTTTCCTAATCAGATATATGCTAAAATACAGTGAAGCAGTAACTGCTCATTTTGAGTTAAAAAACTAAATTTATATAAGCAGGGTGATTGTGTAAAGGTTTTTTTTTTTTCTCCTTTATTTGTTTTTCTTTTTGATTTGAGTTGCCAAAAATTGCAATTTCTGCTCTTGGTTTTGGTGTGATGAGGACCTGCAGTGTCAGGTTCTTACAAAGTCAGTATTGAAAAAGGCAAGCAATGGCCAGTTCAATTCTGCCTGTTCCTTATGGCCTTACTAATCAAAATACTCTGATTTGGTTCATCTTGAAAGCTTAGCAGGATTCTGAGATACTACAAACAATATACTCTTTCTAAAGAAGTTATTTGTGATTTTGTAAAGAAATCCACAAACATTCCCCTGTAAAAGCAGATAGCCCTTGCTTAAACAACATCTCACTGCTAGCTCAAGTTTGTTTATAACTAAGCCATAGGATTCAGTGTTTTCTAAGGATATTTATCTTCAGAATTTTCAAGTCATCAAATGATACATTTTTCTTGGCTTAACATTACCTCTTAATAGTGTTTTTCTTGAATGATGTTTCTCTAGGTTGACTTTTACTGATCATTATCAGTGAATGAATTTTTAAAAAATGAAAGCAATATCATCTGTGTATGCTGAATCTTTTTTTTTTGTTCTTGATTCAGATAATTGATATAAACAATAGAGGTAATAGGGAAGAATAAGTGTTTTAAAGCATTGAAATATATTCAGAAATACTCTCTAGTTATGAGTTACTTGAGAATATAGTTAAATGAAAATTATTTGACTATTTTTTAGAAATTACTCTTTCTTTACAAAAAAGCATTATGTTTATTTGCTCTATATTCAGAATAGCTCATTTATACTTTGGAAAAATCCCTTTTAGGTATACTGTTTAAATGGGAAAACATTTTTTCTCTTTGCCATTCATTGATCAGTTTATGCCTGCGGGGCTGGTTCCATCACCCAATGTGTTTCTCCAGTAGTAACAAAATACTGAATTTTAGGACTGTGGGGCTATTAGTAATTTATGTAATATACTCCTTACCCCCCTCCAGTTATTACACTGTCTTTCAAGGCCTGGGACAATGGGAACAGGAACCATGAACTGAGAAGTGTATGAGTTGAACAAGCTAAATTTATATAGTTAGAAAGTAAGAGAACCAGTGATCCAGTTTATTCATGTTTTGAAAATCTCTAATATCCACAATTTTAAAGGCTTGGTTTAAAAAAATTTGAATGAAAATAGAGATGTTTTAAATTTACCATATGACCCAGCAGTTCCACTCATAGAAATCTATAAAAGAGAAATGAAAACATAGGTCCACAAAAAGATGTGTATGTGAATATTCATAGCAGCATTATTTGCAATGGCCTCAAACTGGGAACAATTTAAAAGTACTATCATTAAGTGAATGGATAAACAAAATGTGGCACATATGTACACACACACACACACATACATGCTGGAATACTACTTAGCAATTAAAAGGATTGATACAATAAAACATGCTACAACATGGATGAACCTCAAAAACTATGCTAAATAAAAGAAGTCAGATGTCAAAGGCTACATATTCTATGATTCCATTTATATAAAATTCATAGAGAAAGAAAGCAGATCAGTGGGTTGCCTAGTGCTAGAAGTGGGAGCAGGGGTTAGCTACAGATAGAAACAAAGAGAACTCGTTGGGTTGATGGAAATGATCGATAACTGGATTGTGATGGTGGCTGCACAACTCTACAACTTTACTGAGATCACTGAATTACATATTTGCAATGGGTTAATTTTATAGTGTGTAATAAGCAAAGCTATTTTTAAAAAGAGAGGAATGTTCTCCATAGTTGAATCATTTGAAAACAAAAAAATACAACTACGTAAATTGAAAATTGGATTTTGAACCTGTCTCTCCCAGAAGGTTTTAGGTTTAGTTCTGAATTGTTCAGTGGATGTCAACAAAAGTTTGTATTAAAAGACTGCAAAAAAAAATCTTTTAGTAACACATCCTTACAGTATCCTAGTTCTCTCACTGTTCTTTTTCCTTATGCCTTTTTTTGGTTTATAGTTTACTCAATAACTTTCTTTAAATACTGAAAGGTAGTATTTATATGATCAAATTGTGTCTAGTATATTAATCTATACCAGCTTGCTTCTTCAGTTCTTTAGTTTCCATATTTAATCAACTGGATCTCTTTTTATTTACTATGTATTTTTAAAAATAAGTTGGATTTTTGTGAGTCAAAGCTGCTTAAAGGTTCTCATTATGCTAGTAACTCTGTAAGTCTTGCTATAAATCTAGATTTTTACATATCAGATCTCCTTAAAGTGTGTTATTAAAGTCCTGTAATTTTTTTCTTTTAAATCCTAATTCTTCTCCAATGCTGCTGCTTTTGACACACTTTCAACTAACTACTGGAAATCATGGTTATAGATAGTATACCGAACATATATTTGTTTTTGGATTGCAAATTGGTTGGTTGGTTTGTTTTAAATAATAGCAGTCTTGCTACAGCATAGGCAAATGTTGATTCTAGAGCATATTCCTTGATCATGCAAAGTGATGATGGTGTCTAGAAAACATTTTGGAGAGCAGAGGGAATCCAATTGAATATTAAAATTTTCCATAAGCAGTCAAAATGTATGTAATAAAGAGTTGACTGTATAGTTGATAACATGCCTGCTACAATTCGAGTGCTAGGCAAAGCAGTACTTGCATAATAATTCATGTTATACTGTTGAGAATTTTGGTAGGATTTTTGCAGTCATTTATATAGGAGCATTGTCCTTTATTTAAGCTATGTACTTGACTGTTTAGTGTCAAGGAAAACCTCAAAGCTTCATTGGAGCCTTTTTGTCAGCTTTGATAAATGCCACTTCAGACTGTGAATCTTCTCAGGAACTCTGTAATCCTGATTGAGTTACCATTTTTGGCAGAGGGAAGAGGCTTTAGGGAAAAGCCAAACCCATAATACAATAACTTAAGATGTTATTCCTTCTTTTCATGAATTTATTATGAGTCCAAACATTTAGATATTGTCTTGTAGAGAGTTAGATTGGGCAAGCTAATTTACTCAATTTATGTTATTAACTGTCTGTTAAACTATTATACTCTATTATATTTGTGGGATGAAAGATGAAATGATTAAAGTAATTTAAGCATTTGTTTAGTCACACTGGTCATGACCTTGAGTTATATACGTAATCTATCATTTATAAAAATCTGTCTCTAGCTTTTTTTTTTAACATTTGGAGTTATAACTGTACCACTAAAATTTATAAAAAGTATGTATGAGCTGCATGTTAATATCCTTGTTCTGCTTATACCTGCCATTCTGTTTCTATAAGGGATATCCTAACTGCTCTTTGGATATATCATTCAATTCATATTTTGACAGTTTTCAGATTATTAGACTTTTCTTGGTCTCTCCAGATTTCTATTCATGGATGAAGGTAAAAATGTAAACATCAGCTGACACTGTTGGATGAAATAAGAATATATGTATACCTTTTAATGGAAGAAGCCAAATAGAATAAAACATGCAAAACTAAGTCTCTTTGAAAGCATGCTGAGTATAATTTTTTTATTATTAAGTCTCATATGTGTATGTGTGATTATACTTTATATTGCTTTTGCTTTTGCATCTTCTCTAAACTGATACTCAAAACACCTTTTAAAGTTTAAATAGATTTTAAGAACTAGTTTATTTTCTATTCAATAAATATGAGCCCCTATCATTTTCACCCTGTATACATGAGCAATGCAAAAATGAAAAAAATATATTTCCTGCCCTCAAATTACTGTTTGAACATATTAGAATCTCTTAGTTTAATCCCTTGGATTTATCACAGTTTTAAAATTTTTAGATTTTCTTCCTGCTTGTTTCCTTCATCAGGAATGCCCATAAGGTTCATTCAGAAACTTTGCTACTACTGTAATAATATAAATCCTTGTCAGTATTGATCCCTTAAAAGATCACTATACTAATGTTTTGTGGGTTTTTTTTATTTATTTTTATTTTTTTTTAAAGATTTTATTTATTTATTCATGAGAGACAGAGGGAGAGAGAGAGAGAGAAGCAGAGGGACAAGCAGGCTCCCAAGGAGCAGGGAGCCCGATGTGGGACTCGATCCCAGGATCCCGGGATCATGACCTGAGCCGAAGGCAGATGCTTAACCATCTGAGCCACCCAGGCGCCCTGTTTTGTGGGTTTTAATAGAAACTTTCTTTGGTATATAATGGAAAATGCTGCTTCAAATATGTGATCACTTGTGAGCTACATATTACTTAGTTGAACCTTAAAGAACAGGGTCGGGGTGCCTGGGTGGCTTAGTCGTTAAGCGTCTGCCTTTGGCTCAGGTCATGATCCCAGGGTCCTGGGATCGAGCCCCACATCGGGCTCCCTGCTCTGCGGGAAGCCTGCTTCTCCCTTTCCCACTCCCCCTGCTTGTGTTCCCTCTCTCACTGTCTCTCTCTGTCAAATAAATAAATAAAATCTTTAAAATAAAATAAAGAACAGGGTAAAAAGGTCACTATCTTGGTGTCTGAAGCGAGTTGTCCACAGTAGACAGAAATAACCAGTCCAAAGGACTTACATGTCAAGAGGGTTTACAGCACTTGATTTTAGACTTTTTTCTACATGCTGTTGAAATTAATGCTATCAGATGGTATGCCTACATAAATAATTTTGTTAGCTAGAATAGGGATAATAATTTGGAGTCTAAAAAAACATTTTTCATTGGGTGTCCTATTATCAGCATTTGTTCCCTTTCTGCCACAGAAAGATTTCTATTTTAATTAATTCTTAAACAATAAAAGACCTGAAATAAAGCTAGTTAGTATGAATATGGCATTTTATATTATTGATTATGCTCACTGATTATAATGGCACTTAAAGACTTAGGTTATGCATTTTGCATTGATTACCAAAGACCTATTTCAATTGACATCTTTTGAAAACTTATATACTTCAGATTGTCCAACCAGTAGTTTATGAGATAACAGGTTCCCCGTTTTATTTTCTTATTTACCAGTGGAACAAAGATTCAGGAATAAACTGTCACTAAGGATGGGGGTTTGGAGGAAGAATTTGAAAGCTAAAAATTTAACTTAGGATGGAATGGTCAAAAATTAGGTAGCTGTTCTGCATTTAGTGATAATGGCATTTTTGGCCAATATTAATAGATTGTAACCTAAGTTGGCCAAAGTTTATTAGTAATACAATTTTTGCAAGTTTAACTTTCAAGAGTTGCAAGCTTTTTTCTAATCATGTTTATCTGTTCATTTAGGGTTGAAAGGAGGAGCAGGAGGTACTGATGGACAAGGGGGTACCTTCCGGTACACTTTTCATGGCGATCCTCATGCCACATTTGCAGCATTTTTTGGAGGTTCCAACCCCTTTGAAATTTTCTTTGGAAGACGGATGGCTGGTGGTAGAGATTCTGATGAAATGGAAGTAGATGGAGATCCTTTTAGTGCCTTTGGATTCAGCATGAATGGATATCCGAGAGACAGAAATTCTGTGGGGCCATCCCGCATCAAACAAGATCCTCCAGTTATTCACGAACTTAGAGTATCACTTGAAGAAATATATACTGGTTGTACCAAACGGATGAAGATTTCTCGAAAAAGGTTAAATCCTGATGGAAGGAGTTATAGATCTGAGGACAAAATTCTCACCATTGAGATTAAAAAAGGGTGGAAAGAAGGCACCAAAATTACTTTTCCAAGGGAAGGAGATGAAACACCAACTAGTATCCCAGCAGACATTGTTTTTATCATTAAAGATAAAGATCACCCAAAATTTAAAAGGGATGGATCAAATATAATTTACACTGCTAAAATTAGTTTACGAGAGGTAAGTTAGTAGGACCTGGGATTCTGAAACCAGACAGAATTATGCATCTGATCTTAGGGAATTTATGTAAATAATAGCTAATATTTATTAAATGTTTAGTATAGGGCGCCTGGGTGGCTCAGTCGTTAGGCGTCTGCCTTCGGCTCGGGTCGTGATCCCAGAGTCCTGGGATCGAGCCCTGCATCGGGCTCCCTGCTCCGCGGGAGGCCTGCTTCTCCCTCTCCCACTCTCCCTGCTTGTGTTCCTTCTCTCACTATGTCTCTCTCTGTCAAATAAATAAATAAAATCTTTAAAAAATAAAAATAAAAAAATAAATGTTTAGTATACGTTATTTTTTAAATTCTCATAAGAACCCTCCAGAGGTAGTACTACTATTATATCTCTTTTATGGATAAGATTATATTTTCTTTTCTTTTTTTTTTTTTTAAAGAATTTATTTATTTATTTGAGAGAGAGAGAAAGAGAGAGAGAGCAGAGAGGGAAGAGGGTCAGAGGGAGAAGCAGACTCCCCGCTGAGCAGGGAGCCCGATGTGGGACTCAATCCTGGGACTCCGGGATCATGACCTGAGCCGAAGGCAGTCGCTTAACCAACTGAGCCACCCAGGCACCCAAGATTATATTTTCTAAGTTTAGTTACCTGTACTAGCAATTTAAATGCCAACTTGAAGTGCTAACCAGATTGTGTACTATGAAGCTTAATACTGGCTTAACAGTTTTTATAGGTATGGTTTATGAGAGATGCATTGTAATTGAAGTCCATGTATAAGATTTTTTCTAAAATTGTTAATTTGGAGTAATAATTATATAACAAAAAGATATTAATTTAAAATAATTTATAAGCATACTGTTTTAATATGAGTCCTTATTTGTTCTATTTTTAGACACTATTTTTCAAATTGCATTATAATCCTGCAAACATGGCCATGTCAGTTCCCTGCTTAAAATTCTTAAAAGATCCCACATAGTATCTACCATAAAGTCCAGACTTTTTAGCTTAAAATGAAGGTCATTTTAAATCTGATTCCTACCCATAAATGTTTATGCATTTCCTAAGTTTGCTCTGTTATTATCATACATACATTTATGTCATCGTCTAAATTCTAATCAATGAAACACTGTTGTTCCTCACTCTGCCTCAAAACCTGCTACTGGTCCAATGTTTAGCTCAAGCATTCTGTACTCTCAGAAGCTAAAGGGGGGGAGGGTAAGCTGGGTGCCCTTTGTCGCTTGCAGACTTCTGCACCTCTGTGCTCACGTTATACTGTATTATTATTATTACCGGTTTGCTTCTGAGTTCCTTGTGCATTCCCTGAGGTGGGGTCTGTGTTCATGGTCCCTAAGCTCAGCATCTAGCAGGAATGTGTGGCATAGAGTAGACACTCAGTAAACATTTGTTGACTAAACCAATAAATGTATTTCTTTTTTTTATATTTTTATTGTTATGTTAATCACCATACATTACATCATTAGTTTTTAATGTAGTGTTCCATGATTCATTGTTTATGCATAATACCCAGTGCTCCACCAATAAATGTATTTCTTATCCTAACATTTTTCCTTCCAAAGAGTAGGTAGTTGCTCTTATTCTATTCCTCTCACTCCTAAATTTCTCCCTCTTTTCTTGTCCAGTTCCATCCCTGCATCTTGAACATTGTAATGGCAACCTCGAACATTGCATTTCATTTCAAGGCAATGTGGAAGACATCCTTTCTCTTTCCTTTTCCTTCCCTTCCCCTTCTCCTTTCTTTTGTAGTATGTCTGATCATGCATGTCCTAAAGGGATCTTTTAATAGGGAAAAAGTCTTATAATTATTGATATTCTTCTGGAGGTTAAAATTTTACCTTAGTGGTTTTATCCTTCACACCTAGTTTTTGTTGTTGTTGTTGAGTTTTTGAAGTTCTGAAGTTTGTTAATTTTATTTGGTCTATTTCAGGCATTGTGTGGCTGCTCAGTTAATGTGCCAACAATGGATGGAAGAACCATACCTATGTCAATAAATGATATTGTGAAGCCTGGAATGAGGAGAAGAATTATTGGATATGGGCTGCCGTTTCCAAAAAATCCTGACCAGCGTGGCGACCTTCTAATAGAATTTGACGTGTCCTTCCCAGATACTATATCCTCATCATCCAAAGAAGTACTTAGGAAACATCTTCCTGCCTCGTAGGATGAAAAACTTTGTTACCCATATTTTGATAAGGCACTGAAAATATAAAAGGACTGGCAGTTTACTGATGTAGATGTGAATTCTGTATAAAGATGTGTAAATTATTTTGAGGATTCATTAAATTGCATGAATAGAGACGGGTCAAATAAATAGGCAAAAGGGATTTTTACAGTTAGAGATGAAGAAACAACCATTCACTGTATTTTATTTCATTTCTCCCAAATCAGAAATTTTTTAGTATTTTGCTTACATGTAAAATTTGTTTTGTGGAGTTAGTAGATATATTTCTAATAAAGTACTAGACTATCCAAGTACTTTATTTCTTTTATCTTTACATTATCAGTATGATAGTTTCTCATTTATAATGGAAATTTAAGTTCTTAACTAACCTACATATGTGATATGTATTTCTAGAAAATAAAAATCCAAGTCATTTGGAAATGTGGTTAACTAGATTTAAATCTCCATCTGAAATGCTGCTATAGGGCTGGGACCCATAAAAGAATATCCTAATGCATATGTTTTGATTTTTAAAGTATGCTATAGCATTTCCTACTAACATGGTTGTAATGTTCTTAAGGCAGACCTTTTCATCATAGAAAGGAAATTAATGGCAATTTATCTCCTGTGGAAATCCCAATTGCCTGAATTACTGATATTTTAGAAATAGGCTGTTTTTAAAATGCCATATGTAATTTTATGCAAGTTGACTATATATCTTGGACTTAATAAATTATAGGCACATTTTATTGTCCACTAGTTTAAAATAATTTGTTTAATAATGTGTTTTTAGAGGGAATATTGTTACTTAGAATTAATTTTCCAATTACACAGTCTTCTATTACTTACTCATCATATGCTATATGTATCTTATGCAATTTCCCTAAAAAGAATAAACTACCACTATGGTGTTAAACCAAAATATGGGGAAAATAAACACTAACTGCTGCTTATGAATGATGTTGCTACTACTTGTTATGCATATAAATATTTTACTTTTTCATATGTATAGACTGCATTTCTTAGGTGTTTTAATTTTTTAAATATATTTACGTTTAAAAAATATTTTGTTTTTTTTTTTAACCATAGTAAGAGTGATGTCTTGAAACAAAATTTTTGGTTCAAAAGTAGCTTTCAGGATGATTGATATATGTACAAGGTGAACTGGATCCTATCACCCTTTAGCAGAGTACAAGGGTTCTTTTAGTGATTCAGTAAATAGGTTGTAATCACCACATACTTTATAGCCTTACTGCGTTGTAATTGACATGCCATAAAACTACCTTTTTAAAAGTGTATAGTTCAGTGGTTAGTATATTCACAGAGTTATGTAACCACTAAGTCTAGAACATTTTTATCACCTGAAAAAGAAACTTTATCCATCAGCACTCACGTCCTATTCTTCAGTGCCTGGTAAATACAAATCTACTCTCTGTCTCTATAGATTTGTCTATTCTGGGCATCTAGTACAAATGGGATCAAAGAATATGTGACTTTTTTTCACTTAGCTTCTTTCACTTAACATGTTTTCAAGGTACATCCATGTTGCATCATATATCAGTACCTTGTCCTTTTTTATGGCCAAATAATGTTCCATTCTATGGAGATACCACATTTTGTTTATCCATTTATTAGCTGATGGGCATTTAGGTTATCTCCTTTTTTTGGCTGTTGTGAATAATGCTGCTATGAACATTGTCGTACAAGTTTTTCTGTACATAACTTTTCAATTTTCTTGGGTATATATCTAAGAATAGAATTGCTGGGAATAATCACATGCTTTAGTTCCAAATGGAACCTGGCTGGCTCAGTTGGTAAAGCGTGCAGCACTTGATCTTGGAGTTTTAAGTTTGAGCCCCATGCTGGGTATAGAGATTACTTAAAAATAAAATCTTAAAAAAAAAAAATGGTTGAAAATGCCAGAGAATTCAGCTAATCATACTTACTATTCCACCTAATTCATAAATAGTCCCTTTATAATTTTGGTTCTCTCAATGACAGTTAAAACTCCTTAGGGAAGTATAAACATCACAACAATTTTCTCAAAGGTCTAAAGAGATAGAGCCGAAAAGCATCAGTCAAGAGTGGTGGATATGATTTCTATATTAAACCCACTGTCCGGCGCCTGGGTGGCTGGGTTGGTTAAGCGGCTGTTTTCAGCTCAGGTCATGATCCTGGAGTTCCAGGATCGAGTCCCGCATCGGGCTCCCTGCTCAGCAGGGAGTCGGCTTCTCCCTCTGACCCTCCCCCCCCATGTGCTCTCTCTGAAATAAATAAAGTCTTTAAAAAAAAAAACCCAATGTCATTTATTGCAATTTTTTTGATTAAGCATTTTCTCCCAAGTTAAAGGATTTATAGATTTGGTAGATGGATAATCTTTGGATTAAAAAGTATTTTTTTAAAGTACAGAATTATTTTTCTAGTAAAAAAATTAATTTTCATTGCTATATAGAAACAGTATGCCAGTATCTTTCTTGCCTTAAAGGATACTGATAATGCCTTAGCATGTAGTTGGTGCCCAATTTTTATTTGTTAAGTGTTGAATTAATGTAAAAGAGTGTAAAGTTTCCTTATCTATGTAAATTGTGAAAGTACTTTTGATTTTATATACTTATTTATTTAGTGCTTTTGATTTTAAAATGTTCTCTTTAAATTCAGGGCGCCTGGGTGGCTCAGTTGGTTAAGCGACTGCCTTTGGCTCAGGTCATGATCCCAGGATCCTGGGATCGAGTCCTGCGTTGGGCTCCCGGCTCAGCAGGGAGCCTTCTTCTCCCTCTGACCTTCTCCCCTCTCATGCTGTTTCTCTCTTGCTCACTCTCTAAAAAAAAAAAAAAAAAAAAAAATCTTTAAAAAAAAAATAAATAAATTCAGTCACATACTTGGATACCTGAAATAGTTTTGCAGTACTGGAGATGCCAGTAAGCTAACCGATACTGATGTTTATCTTTCCTACAAGAAAAACCAGATTGCTTATGCTTTATAATTAGGATGTTTTTAAGCAAGGCATACACTGTTGTGTTGTCACTGACCTACCAATCTCAACTGTGTTATATAAAGCCACTTCACACATTTAGTTCATTTACTTCGCTGCCTCTGAAAGCATCTGAGTTTGTGATCCTTTATCTTTCAGCTCATCACTCGTGCCTATTATTAGCCTTTCTTGGGGGCAAGGAATTGAAAATACTTTTGTTTGCTTACTTTTTAAGAAAAAAATCCTATAATTTGACTAGTTATGGTGGATAAAATTATATTAATATATGTGATTGGACTTGGTAAATGGCTTAGAAGTAATTACTCTATCCTCGTATTAAGGACTATTAACCTCACAGAGTTAAGGTTAAACATTACCTGTAATTTAATAACACAATGTTTATCCAACAATGTGTAACATAGTGTACTGCCTACATACCTGGCTTATATATATATTCCCACTTTATGGAGAATTATAGAAAGAAATGTGATTTGTTACTTTTAAATTATAGCTTAATCAATATTTATTTGAATTGACAATTTCTGTAGGTTGAATATTTCAACCTTTTTATCATTTCTCTTTCTGTGACATTTTTAATTCATAAAATTCATAAAAGTTTTGGAGCTGGGAGAATTTTAGAGATCACATTTTCTAGATGAGGAAGTAAACCCAGAGATGCTAAATGACTTGCCTGTAGCTAAAAAGTAAGCTTGTAAGGGAATTCTGAGATACCTTGTTTCTTATTCTCAGTAACAGTTCCTACCTATATGTTATGATGTCCCCTGTTGTTAAATTTCCAAGACTAGGTCAAATTCTGTTAAAGTTCATTTACCTACTTCTTTGTGCAGTCTGTATATTTCAGTACATTTGAAATATTTTGAGTCATTTATGAGTATGTAGAATATGAACCTATAATTTGATGGTGTTAACTGGAAAACTTGAAAGATTAATTATGAAAACTATTTTTTTTAAGGGAATTAAGAGCTCAGAATTGAAATGTATCCATCATTAACTTAAAAAATGTATGCCAATGTTATTCTCAAAATACTTCAAGGCCACATCTGAGCTTTTAGATAAATAATATAAATTAAATTAATATTTTTCCAAGTAAAAAAGTTACTATCCAAAATATGTGATATTATATCATTACAAAGAGAGAGAGAGGTGAGAGGTGTTGAGAAGAGGAAGAGGAAGGAAGAAAAAAACCCTGCAGATTTTAGAAAAATTTGTAATGAGTACAATACATATAGAAGCTCTACAATCATTTGCAAATATAGTAATCTCTCCCAAACTAAAAATTGATAGGTACATCTTCTCTGTAGCTTTTAGAAATTTGGCTTGTATGAATGCAGTTCTTGAGCCATTCTTTTTTTTTTTTTTTAAAGATTTTATTTATCCATTCATGAGAGACAGAGAGAGAGAGAGAGAGAGGCAGAGGGAGAAGCAGGCTCCCAAGGAGCAGGGAGCCCAATGCAGGACTCAATCCCAGGACCCTGGGATCATGACCCGAGCCGAAGGCAGATGCTCAACCATCTGAGCCACCCAGGCGCCCAGTTCTTGAGTCATTCTTATAGAGAAAATTGTTTTCAATTTTTTTTCTTATTTTAAGTAAACTCTACGCCACACATGGGACTCAACTCATGATCCCAAGATCAAGAGTCACATGCTTTACTAACTAAGCTAGCCAGGCTCCTGTCTTATAGAGATAATTTTAAAAAGAAGAAACTGGAGGTTGGATAAAGAAAAGGAGAGTAAAGTAAATGGACGAGGAAAGTAAGAAGTTTTGGATACAGTCTTAAACATGAAAAATAAAACCAGAGGCAAAGAACTCCATTCCTGTTTCTGTTAAAGGGATGGCCCTGAGATAAATACGAAAAATCTGGACAGAAAGTAGTATTCAGTTATAATAGGTTCTGTATTAGAGAAGAGCTTGAGAAACATTTACATTTTTTAATAAGTTAAAAGTTAGACAATATTTTACTTTATTTTTTTATTAAGAGTTTTTTTTTAAGATTATTTATTTATTTGAGAGAGAGACCATGAGCAGTGGGAGGGGCAGAGGGAGAGGGAGAAGCAGCCTCCCCACTGAGCATAAAGCCCAATTTGGGGCTCGATCACAGGACCCTGAGATCATGACCTGAGCTGAAGGCAGACACTTAACTGACTGAGCCACCCAGGCACCCCTAAAAGTTACACAATATTTTAAATCAACTATATATTTTGCATCTCTAGGATTGGGTATGGAGGGGTTGGAGAAACAGGATTAACTGAGAATTATAAGATCTGAAAAATATTAAACATTTAGAATGAGGTTAGGCTTTTTTCTTGTCTTCTTAATGTGCCTAGTAGGCCTGACAGAGCAAAAACAAATTTGAAGTGGGAGTGGGAGATCCTGAAAGGTTTCTAGTGAGCAAGGAATGATAAACCACCTATTTATTATTCATTAATTAATAGGCTATTGGTCTCTGTTTTTATTTATTTTACTCATTTTTTAAAAAGATTTTATTTGGGAGAGAGAGAGAGAGAGAGAACATAATTGGGGCGAGAGGCAGAGAGAAAGGGAGAGGGAGAAGCAGACTCCCGACTGAGCATAGAGCCCAATTCGGGGCTTGACCCCAGGACCCTGAGATCATGACTTGAGCCAAAGTCAGATGCTCAACTGACTGAGCTATCCAGGTGCCCCTCTCCTTATTTAATACAATCTTAATTTTAGTGAACCTAAAAGCTAACTTCTCAGGGTTGTTCCTAAAACGATTATTTTCCACAACTTCCTCAGCTAATCCTTTCTCTTCCACAATGGTTTCAGAAACAACCCTCTCAGATGGGGAAATTATATTGTACTGTGGTTTTTATAAATTACACTCCCTTACTTATTAAAGCAAAATTGAAGGGCGCCTGGGTGGCTCAGTTGGTTAAGCGACTGCCTTTGGCTCAGGTCATGATCCTGGAGTCCCGGGATCGAGTCCCGCATTGGGCTCCCTGCTCGGCAGGGAGTCTGCTTCTCCCTCTGACCCTCCCCCCTCTCATGTGTTCTCTCTCTCTCATTCTTTCTCTCAAATAAATAAATAAATAAATCTTAAAAAAAAAAAGCAA